AATTAATGCTGCTCGTCAGCTGACCCTGAGATAGGAGATTATTCTGGCTTATCCAAGTGGGCCCAATATAATCACAAGCATCCTTAAATACGGAAGAGGGCAGCAGAGGAGGAAAGTCAGAGGGAAATGTAGGCACACAGATGGTCACAAAGCTACAGTGTTCAGGGCTTTGAAAATGGAGGATTAAGCCAAAGCCAAGGGATGCAGGTGACTTCTTAAAGCTGGAAAACACAAGGAAACAGATTCTCCTCAGAGTTTCCAAAAGGAACACTGCCCTGCTGATCAGTGAGACCTGTGTCAAATTTCTATCTACAAAACCGTAAGGTAATATATTTGTTATATTAAGCCATTGAAGTTGTGGCAATATTAAAGCAGCAGTAGGAAACCTGTGGGTATGAGAAAAAAGGCAGTGTCAGCACATGGGTAGAAGGCATGTTTTATGAAGAGACAGGAGACAAAGGGAGTTCACTTACCAGGAGCATGGGTTTCAAAATACCATAAAAGGTATTGTGGGAGGCCATGATATACCAATGTGAAGATAACCACAGCAACATGGGAAAGACAATGTGGAAATAAACAGAGCCTATATTTTTTTCCACCACATATCCATAATCACAAGGATGCCCAATGCTTGCAGAATGGAACTGCAGAGAAGGGGCTGTAGTCTAGACTATGATGTTTTTCAGATGCTGCTGGAATGCAGGAATTAGGGACAAGGTGGGATTTCAGCATTAAGTAGCCTCAACACTGAAATGAACTGATGGCTCTAGTGCTGAAATCACAGGGGTCTCAGGACTCTCGGGTGATCAACACTGTTTGTGAAAGGTTACTAAAGTTTGACAAGGGACTAGACTTGGTGGCTGATGAGGAGAGCCAGAACTCTCACTTGTGGTAGAATGGGTCCCTGGTGGCTAGGGAGACTTGATCCTCTTTTTGAGAGGGAGACAACTAAAGAAATCAACTTGGTGATGAGGTGCTCTCTGGCTACCTTAAAGAGGACAGATAAATGATGTAGAAAGCAGGTCACTAACTAGTAATGAATATAACAGAACCAGAAATCTGTGAGCCTAGAATCAGAAGGGCAAAAGCCCACAAGAAACTGAAAAAGTGTGAAATATATTAAAATATATATTTTTTAAAAAGCCTTTTTTAGGTTTTGATGAGGAAAGAGTAGGGGAAAAAGGTCAACTGCTTCAAGTACATGGTACATACTGAAGAGGACACAGATCTCCTTAACTTCCATTTTTTGTTAAAGAGAATAACTTTCAAACAGCAAGCATGGAAGAAAGCAAGTTAGGCAGGATGCAAATTTCAAGGTAGGCATGTTAATAGGCATTTCAATAAATCTACGTCTTCAGGTCCTAACAAATTATATAGCTTGGATTAACAAATATTATTGTGTATTAGTAACATTTGAGTAAGCCCTGGTATATAAAAGTGTCATAACCTCAGAGATAGATAAATGCTACTACTTTCAGAAACAGGAAAAAAGTTGGCTCCTAGTCTATAACCGGGCACATTCAAAGAGACTAATACAACAGAAATATGTATTAAATTTCCATTTTTGGTCAGATACTGTGTCAGGAGCTTTTATTATAAGTTCATTAATATGAATACCTAGAAGAAATAGATTAGGTTATTATTTATTCACATACTCCACTTATACTGAGAACAAGTCATGCAAAATTTACATTTTGTTTTGGAAGGGAAATATGGTAGGTAGACAGTAAATCACTTTTTGCCAGTATCTAAGAACAAACTGGAGACCTATAGCCTGGGTGATAATAGTAGTCTTGCTAGAATGATACACAGTATGAAAACAGATGCAGTCTTATTCACTGTTTTATAACCCCAGAGCTACAAAAGTGCCAGAGGTCCGGTAAACATTATTTGCTGAATAAAGGATGACTCACTTGAGTGTCAGGACCTAAAGAACACTGCATATTTATTCTATGTCAATTTATGGCCCAGGGTCTCTAAGGAGGCTTTGAGGTTGACCTTAACCTAGTCTAGTTCAGCATTTAAACTAACTTGGACAAAACTTACCTCATTCAAGGTAACACTAAAGGCAGATAATTTATTAGATGGTAAAATAGGGAGCCAGGCATGGGGTGCATGCCTATAATCTCAGCAACTGTCACAAAATAAAAAAAGGGCTAGGGATGTAGTTCAGTGGTAGAGTGTCTCTGAGTTAGATCCTCAGTACCCCGCCCCAAAGAATTTTTTTAAAACTCCATTGCTAGGAAAGTCAGGTGAAACTAACAAGATAATTTAAGAGGATGAAAAATAGAGCCCTGCAAGTGGGTTTAAAAAAATAATAATAACTGCACGGCAACAAGAGGAGGGAAACCTAGATTAAAAGCAAATCTACCCAAAGTTTTAATTTTGCAAGCTCAGTTAATAGGTAGCAGTTTGATATGATGGTCAAAAAAACTAAAACAATTTTAGGCTGCACTGAGAGAAAGACAATGTCTAAGCAAGGTTGGGAAAGAGTTGAAGTCCTCTTTATTAATAACATCATCTTTGGGCAAGGTACTCAGTTCTGGGAATCACATTTTAAAGAGATCAATAACTCTAAACTGTGTATTTTGGGGGGGAGGGTGGGATCTAGGCTAGAGAATGCTCTGGAAACAAGAGGAATTGAAGATGTTGCGGTGAGGGGGAGACGGTGAGGGGGAGACTGCTTGTGTGTGTGCGCGCGCGCAGCACAATACTCTATGCTATCTAATAGAAAAGGGATTTGAGTTAGGGATGGCAAAGGGTTTCTTCTAGTGAATGAATTCTAACAAACTGGTACTATCAACCAGGAACTGGTGCTGCGAAAGAAACTAAGACAAAGTGATGTCAGCAGTTAATTGCTGTGATCAATTTATTCATGTCTGCTATAGGGAGTGCAGTGCCTACATAAGTGTCAAATATTTAGACTCTGGATTGGAAAGACATTCCAAACAGCTCTGTAGGCCAAACTCAGGGCTACTTTGAAGTTACAAGGAAGCTAGAAATGTGTAAGGGGTGGTTTGAAGACCACCAGTATCAGAGTGGGAGGATGATCTCAATTAACTTAAAATTCCCTTCCAACTCTTAAGAATTTTAAACTGCAGGGAAATGCAAGGCAAAACTCATGCATCCCAGTTCCAAAGCCAACCATTTCTTACAAAAAAGTTCTTTACAGCCTCTATAGAGGAACTTAACTGCCCTGTGCTCCTGAGAGCAGTGGTTTCAGTTGTTCCATAGACCTGGGGCTGCAAGACTCCAGCGGTGTGGCAAGGGACCTGATTATTACAATAAGTGGGTTTTTAAAAAAATGAATACTATTGATAAGTATCTAATGGGAAATCTTTCATTAATGTTATAAGCAATTTCCCCACCCCTAAGTGGGTTAATGCTGACTCTTAGAACAGTTTACCTAATCCTATTCAACTCTGGGACCAAAAGATGGGGTTGGGAGTGTCTTCAGGCCTTTTTAAACAGTAAGCATGTGATTCCACTTTTTAACAGTAAATATCAACACTTATCAGAACACTATTTTCATTGTTTCATTGTTCTGCTCAAAAGCCTTAAAAGTTTCTCAACTACAACATCATGTACTAATACCCCAAACAGATTCCCACATTGTCTTTTCTCAACTTTATTGTTCACCTCTGATAGAGCTGAGTGGTCAGCCTACTTACTTTTCCTCTAAAACTCACTTTGGATTACATCCACTCCAGACTGTTCTTACTTCTTTGTGCTTGGAATGCTCTCCTTGATTCTGTACAACCCTTTCCCATTCTTTAATGTACAACTAAGTCCCTCTTCCACAATTATTTCCAACCAAAACCTATAGGCTTTTCACCTCCTCTGAAGGCTTTTAGATACTTAAAACTTTTCACAGCCAGGGATCAAACCTCATTGTACTCTTCAGTACTGTGCAAAAAGCTGACACTGACCCAATTTTGTCCTCAAAGGACTTAAATACCTTATGTCCCCAGGGCACGATTTTGGAAGCCAGGACATAATCCGCACCCCCACCCCATTCCTTTGCACATTTCCCCCTTCCAGCAAAACTCTCCTCCGTGCTCATCATTCAAATCCTCCCTATCAAGGCATTGATTAGTCACACTTTTTCCACAGATATGTCCTTGATTACTTTCATCTTAAACTGCCTCCGCTTTTTATAAACTGTTTACCCAGTCTACAAGGCATCTTCGTTCTTCTTCAATTCATTGGCTGCGATATTTTCTTACTGGTGAGAGATCTGGTTCCTTTTCTTTCTAATTAAACTTGAGCATCTTGGGGATCCAGCTCACCTTTTTAAAATCTTGCTCAGAGCACACAACAATGGAAATTCTATGAAAGCTCAGCTCCGTGGTTCTCAAAAACTGGGGGCGATTTTGCCTCCCAGAGGTTGTTTGGCAATGTCCGGAGACTTGGTTCTCATACCTGTGCGCGTGAGGGCCGAGAGCTACTGGCTTTTAGACGGTACAGACGGGGACGCTGTGACTATCTTACGATGCACAGGACTGCCTCCTACAACAAAGAATTTTCCAGCTCCACATAGCAATAATGCCGTGGTTAAGAAACACTGGGTTAGCTGAAGGACCTAGTGAGAGCCAAATCTCCGAAAAGGCGGACGTTTGCAGATCGAAAGACAGTGTGGATTGCCTGGTGGGCTAACTGAATCGGCTGGCCAAGGCCGGGGCGGGGTGGAGGTACAAGACCAATATGCGCTTCACGTGGAGCCTGGGACGTCCCCCAAGGACCCGGAGCGCCCGCCCCCCACTCGCTCCAACCCCTACCTGTAGTGAAAGGCCGAAAATGGAAACGCCCAGTCAGTTCGCGCCACAGAGACCCGCGCTCCCCAGCTTCAGTCAGGACTCCAGGAGCAGTACTCGCGAGACCCTAATGGTACGCTCTCGCGAGATGTGGGTGGAACTTCCGGTGGCGCTGCGCGCGTGCGCAGATGGACGCGTGCGCCGTAACAGTCCACACAAAGGCGATTCAGTTTGGCGGGCCTCGGGGAGGGGTGATGTGGGCTCTGAGCCGTGAAATCTCTGGGTGCTGCCCCGCCACCCCGCCCCGGCGTCCGCCCTCCAGCAGCCTTTCACAGTTCCCCGCCCTAGGGTCACGGCCCTGCCACCCTTCAGAACCGCGGAGAAAGGAAGTACGCATCTTCTTCTGAGTTTCTAGTTCGAGTGTTAGGCAGAACATTCAGCTCTCTTGTTTTTCCCTATTCCCCCCAAACAGGCCGGGATTCCTTCTTGTCCTGAGCCTGCAGCCTGGGCTGAACTTTGGAACTCGGGTCCTGGCGATTGGGCTCGGGAGGAAGCAGATACCTGATGATGGCTCAGGTAGCTAGCTATACCTGCCACTTCCCCGGTACTGGCAGAAATGAAGTCTGTGGGTTTCCGGGGAGGCTGCTGGTCTGTTTTCAAAAATTAGTGACCCCTTTGCCCACCAAGTAACTCATAACAATTTTCTCTTCCAGTCTACCATGTCCCCCAAGTGTGATGTATTGAGTCAAGATGAGCTGCGAAAAAAGCTGTACCAGACGTTTAAGGATCGGGGTATACTGGACACGCTTAAGGTATCAGATTTAGGCATATCTGTGTCATAATTTACAAGTGTAATCGGTTAACAGTCCACATTTAAATTTATCCAGAGCTTGGGCTTTTAAAGTAGTATGATGTACACATTGTATTAATGAGTTACATTTTTATATGGAAAATATTGAGTAGTCTTAAAAAGAATATTCAAATAATAGATTTATTGAACTGACATTAAGTAAGTAATACTTATATAATGAACACCTTTTAATTTAGGTTTGTTTTATAAATGTAGTTTACAGATTCCTTAACAAGTGGTTTTGTAGTAAGTTTGATTGAAGAGGAGCATTAACACTATATAGAAAACATTAAGTGTACTGCTTATGATAGAATAGCTTAAGGAATAAAAAATTTTTTAAATATTCATATGTTTCAATATATTTTGTCAGAGATTTGTTTTTCTCACAATTATACTTTTAAAAATTTTTTTAAAATTGTAGTTGGACACAATACCTTTATTTATTTTTATATGGTGCTGAGGATCAAACCCAGTGCCTCATTCCAGCTAGGCAAGTGCTCTACCACTGAGCCACATTTTCAGCCCCAGAAAATTATTTTGATCATTATTTTTTACAAAATCAGTAAAACAGCAGTTTATTATTTTATAATTTTCAAAATTAGATTTGAGTTTTGGCTAAGTGGGGCAGAAAACAAAATGTCTTGGACTGTTGGCTCAGAAATCATCCTAGGAAGCCCACCTTGATGTCTTTTGTGCTTAGCTCTAATGAGATGACATAGGAGGATTGAAGTGAATAATGCAATGTTCATTAAACACCTTCCAGCTCCTATCATTTCCCACTTCTTCAACATTCAATTCTGACTACATCCATTTCAACTTTGTTTCTTTAAAAACATGAAATCAACCAAATTTTTTTTTTTCTCTCTCTCTCTCTTTGCAGAGGTTTTTTACTACACTGAGGTCTGGGCCTTACAGTTTTTTGTTTTGTGTTGCTAGGGATTGAACCCAGGGCCTTGTGCATGGACAGGCACTCTACCAATTGAGCTATATCCCCAGCCCATGGGCATTACAGTTATTATAAACTGGCCTTAGTGTTTATAGGTGTGGCTGGCATTGATTTTTCTCTGCCCCACAAACTCCTCACTGTTCACACCACTACTGGGTACCACCATATTGGACTCTAATATACTTTAATATGGGTAGCAAATATGTATTACTACACTATATATTTAGATTAACTTCAAGGAGTAGAATTGGCTCATTGGTTTTTTTTAATAATATACATTTCAGAAGTATGTTCTACATTTAAAATAACAAGAAATTAATGAAAACTGAGCCTGATTCACCACCACCACCACCATCTTCCCCATTGCTTCATGTAACTTCATGAAAATACTTCACACTCATCTGGAAAATACAAAAAAGCAGAAGAGAAAAATCGTCTAATATAACCACTACTTGGTACAATGTGTATCTTTTTTAAAAAAAACATTTTTTAGTTGTAGATGAACACAATACCTTTATTTTATTTTTATGTGGTGCTGAGGATCAAACCCAGTGCCTCATGCATGCTAGGCAAGCACTCTTTTTCTGAGCCACAACCCCAGCCCTATTTTTTTTTAATTTAAATTATTTGATGAACATTTCCTTATTTCCTTAAATTTCTTGAAATCCTTATTTTCAGTGACAGCAGGCTAATCTTTGGATGTATGAGTAATTCGTGTAGTAGTTTCCAGTTGTTGAATGTTTTACAAAGAACTGTCAATTACATCTCTTATTTTTTGCCTAGCATAGATTGACTTTCATTAATGAGTCAAAGGACATGAGCATTTGTAAGATTCTTTTTTTTTTTTTTTGGTACTGGCTTGATGTATATTTCTTGTTCTGGAAAGATTATAATTGTTTATATTCTACCAGCAGTCTGAGAATATTTGTTTCATAACACTATTGCTGTCATTCTACTTTTTCATTTTTTTTTTTTAAGAGAGAGGGGGAGAGAGAATTTTTTAATATTTATTTTTTAGTTTTCGGCAGACACAACATCTTTGTTTGTATGTGGTGCTGAGGATTGAACCCGGGCCGCACGCATGCCAGGCCAGCGCGCTACCGCTTGAGCCACATCCCCAGCCCTGTCATTCTACTTTTTCATAGTCTAAGATTGGAAAAAACCTTGTTTGCACATTTGTTATTTCACTTTTGACTATTAATGTTGTCTATCTTTTGTGGCCATTTGTATGTTTTCCATTGATTGACAGTTCATATTCCTTTCTCATTTATCTCAGTATTCAATTTTAATTTGGCTTTAAAATTCAATATTGTTATGTTTTTATATGGTCAAAACTATTTTCTTTTTATTCTCAGTACTCCACTAAGAGAATGCATCTTCACTTTTTAAATTTTAGAAAAACTATTTTTTGACATTTAATTCCTTAACCCATCTGGAATTAAGTGAACTATATTAACTCACCTAGAATTAGTTGTGTGCTTCATTAATAATACACTTTCTAATATTGAACAACCCTTGTATTCTTCAGCATGTCTTATTCTATTTTTTGGTGTTTTTTTGGGGGGGGGGGTGGTGGGTGGTGCTGGGGATTGAACTCAGGGCCTTGTGCATGTGAGGCAGGCACTCTACCAACTGAGCTACATCCCCAGCCCATGTCTTACTCTGGAGTAGATCCGAAAGTGTTTTACTTTGTTGTTGCAGTCATAATTGGTATGAATCAATCATTACTCTTTTTGAGCTGTTCTTCTTTGACTTTGGTGTCTGGATAATGCTAGCCTATTCACTTTATAGCTACAGTGTAGTCATGGGAGAAATATGGTTTCCCATTTGGTTTTCTATGATTTCAACTTGATCAATGGCAGGGCAGATTTTTTACTTTCTCAGGCTGAACTGATATTTACTTTCTCAGTTCAATAACTAGCATAGGTGAGTTTCTATTTTAACAAATTTACTGAGTTTTTTAGTGGCCTAATTATCATTATTTTGGGTATTTGAAGATAATTTATATCTATGGTTAAATACAAATTACTTACATATCTATAGATACTTACATATCTATAAAATTACTTACATTTCAAATCTTCTGATTCATTATTTTGGGTCTGATTAGTCAATTTTGGAGATGTGTCTCTTCTCTCCCACTTCCTTCCCTCACGCCCTGTGGTAGTAGTCCTTTTATACTATTCGATTTTTTTATCTTAGGGATATAGCAGAATTTAATTCTGAATAGATTTCCCTCTTGAATTGGCCGCTGAGAAACTCCAGGCCAGTGTTGTCACTTCTTTTAGCAAGTATTAAATGACATGCTTTTTGTCTGTCAAGATGGAAATTGGTCTATAAATGTCATTTCATTTTTTTTTCCTGTTCTTATTTTCCTTTCACTATGTGTATGTGTATGCAAGACACTCTAAATATTTTTATTAATTCAGCTGGATCTAAATATACCACTTCCTCTGTATGTTATAAATGTAATTAAACTACTTCGAAATTTTATTTGTGGAGTATGCTGTATTCTTTGTTATTTCAGGTAATGAATTGTCTTAAATGAGGCTGAGCATGTATATTTTGTTCAGTATAAATGTCTTTTTAAATATAGGACTTCAGGTGTATAATAAGTCCTGTTCTATCCTGGTAATTATATAGTATTCTCCTGTCGTTAAAGGATGTAAGAAATAGGTAAAACATAAACTTCATTTGTTGCTTCCTAGTATTCTATAGATAATTTGAACTATTAGATATTTCCTGCTAAACCCTAAGAATCTAGGCAATTTACTCTTAAACTTAGCCTGTTTGTGACTGTAGCAAGATTGTAATTCCAGTAATTCAAGAGGCTGAAGTAGGAAGATTAAAAGTTTGAGACCAGCCCTGGCAACTTAACGTAGCCCCTATCTTAAAATTAAAAAGTGCTGGGCATGTAGCTCAGGGGTAAAGCACCTCTGGGTTCAATCTCCCAATAACAGAAACTTTTAGAAAATAAATTTTAAAGCTTCCATTAGTCTGATAATTTAGGGTATTTTCTGAAAACCCAAATGACTAGTAATGCCAGTGTTATGATCTTGAGAAAATTACCCACTTTGAGTCCAAATGTCCGCATTTATAAATTGTGAGAAAATTGTCCTTCATAATTGCTTGAGGTGCAAATACTGTGAAAGTGCATTCTTTTTTTTTCCTTCAAAATATTTTATTTTACAAGCTATATCACATTGATCCAATGAGGAATAATATTGGCCAAGTTATTTTGTGTGCATACAAATATGTAACAATAAATCCCACCATTATGTACAACTATCATGCACCAATAAAAAAAAATATGGGAAAAAACAACACATTGATTCAAGATGGTGTGGCAGAGTAGCAAAAAAATAAGCTTTGGAGTCAGATTTCCTTGATTAAATTCTGTATTTAATGTTCATATTTCCTTGATTAATTTCTGTATTAATGTCAGGTGCTTCAATTTCCCTATCTGTAAGTTGGGAGTAAAGTATCTACCACTTAGAGCTGCTGTAAGGATTTAGCAAATCAAAATACAAAGTACTTGGGACAGTGGCAGACTACTAATGCTAACATTATATGACCTCAATGGAATGGTATAAAGAAGGTGGCACTTTTTGCTCTAGGACAAATCTCACAATGACCACACAGCACCATGGAGTTGTAGAGGCAAGGTCATCCTAATAGCCCTTCTAGACTCACATTAACTTGGAGTACTGTGGGAGCTACATCATAAGCTAATACCTCTGGGATGCTTCCCTATGATTAAACTCTAAGGACAGGCTCATGTATTGTGGACGGATCTTTGTGCATGTGTGTGTGCAAAATTAATATGTTAGTCAGGTGTTCTAATGGGCTTTAATCTTCAAATTTATAAGTTGCAAAGATAAGGGGAGAGGGAAAGAAAAAGAGGAAGATGATCAAGAAAGGAGATAGAAAAATGAAAGGATAAAGATGAGAGAACTAATATAACTTCAAATGATATCTTCTTTTTCACTAATTTTAGTTCAATGTTACTCTAGGGGAAAATTTTTATGATGAAATTTGGTTCTATGGAAAGTGCATTCTTAATAAGCTGCCTTGGGGTTTATTTAATTTCTCTTGCATATGGTATTTCCTTTAAAAAAAAAAATTGGGGGCTAGGGCTGTAGCTCAGTGGCAGAGTGCTTGCCTAGCATACGTGAGGCAGTGGGTTCCATTCTTAGCACCACATAAAAATAAAGGCATGCTATCCATCTGCAACTAAAAAAAATTTTTTTTTTTAGAGAATTTTTTAATATTTTTTAGTTTTTGGTGGACACATCTTTGTTTGTATGTGGTGCTGAGGATCGAACCCGGGCCGCATGCATGCCAGGTGCTACCACTTGAGCCACACTTGAGCCACATCCCCAGCCCCCTAAAAAATTTTTTTAAAAAACAATTTTACTTTGATCAATGTGCCCAATAAACTGGTTTGATCCAATATTATTTTTATAGCCTCCAACAATCCAGAGGTTTGAAGTGGCAGAATTTTCTCCTTTACTTGATATCCTGATCACAAGCAGCTGAAATGGGCTTCTAGGGAAGTGAAGTTAGAGTCTATAAGTGGTCTGGTTGACCACCAGATTACTTGGGAGCTGGGGAAAGAAAGCTTTTGCTGGTCTCACAGGGTAAGACAAATGGTTTCTAACTTGTAGCCACATTTATAAATTGTGAGAAAATTGTTCTTCATAATTGCAACAAGTGTGACATGTCCATGTATCTCTCTAGTAAAACAGTCTACTGAAATTTTTTCTCTTCCCTTTTTTTTTTTTTTCTCATTAGACACAACTCAGAAACCAGCTAATTCACGAATTGATGCATCCTGTGTTGAGTGGAAAACTGCAGCCTCAGTCTATTTCAGTGGAAGGGAGTGCTCTCTTAATAGGTGCCTCTAACTCTCTAGTGGCAGATCACTTACAGAGATGTGGCTATGAATATTCACTTTCTGTTTTCTTTCCAGAAAGTGGTTTAACAAAAGAAAAGGTAAAGTCTTTCTTGTTTTTGAATTTTCTATTAACAGTTTCTTCCTTTGATAATTGTAAAGTGCCGCATAGTAGCTAAGTGTTCCTGGACTATTTATATCCATTTCTTGTTCATCTTTGAATGCACATCAGTCTTGCACATAATTCATTATATAATAAATGACTACTAAATTTGATTGGTAGCTCATTTAGTCTTTTGTTAAAGAGTGATACGTGGAATCACTAAATGTTTTGGAGCTAGGATTGATCTTATATTCAATGTAGTCTAATTAAACTCATAAATGCCATTTCTGTTGAACATTTACTGTGAATTTGGTACTGTGCTAGGCCCAATGCAGGTGTCACATGTGTTACAGATAACCAACTGGACCCTGGAGAAGTGATTTGCCCACAGTCATATAACTTGTAATTGGCAATACAGTTCAACTAAATCTATAGATCTTTAAAATGCGCTCTTTTTTACTATGCAATAGGTTCTTCAGATATTTTTCTTTAGAATTACATAAGAGAAGTGAGAAATGCAAAACTGAAGAAAATCTGCAAAATTCTGAAACATTTGAAATACATGTTGTATCACTTTAATGATTGTAACTATTTTTCCTCATTACTATTGAACATATTAGTCATATTTTATTATTTCAAAGGCAGACATGACAAACTTTCCATGTTTGTGCATGCTTTTAAATAGAATTTTTTTTCCAGAGCAGTTTTAGATTCTCAGCAGAATTGAGTGAAAGAGTTTGCATACACCTCTGGCCCCTCCCCATAGCCTTCCCTACTCTCAGCATGTTGCACCACAGTGGTACATTTTGCTGTAGTCAGTGAATCGACACTGACACTTTGTAATCACTTCAAGCCCATATTTTAGAGTTCACTCTTGATGGTGTCCCTGTGTTTTTACTCTTTTATCTATTCTTGACCATAAGTTTAATACTATTAAATTTTAAAGAAATAAAAACAATGTCAGTATTTGAATGAAAGCCTGAAATTTAAACATGCTATATTTCTTCATTAGCAACTAAATTCTATTTATCAACATTAAGAATTCATTTTTAATTCTGTTAACATTAATTCATTCTCTAGCTTCCTAATGATACATTACAAATTTGTTTACTATGTAGTCAGCTATAGCAGTAATTAATCCAGTTCATACATTTAATGGTTTCTGCTAATATAAAATGTCATGAAGGATAGTTCTTTTTTTTTTTTTTGTATCGGGGATTGAACTCAGGGACACTCAACCACTGAGCCACATCACAAGCCCTGTTTTCTATTTTATTTAAAGATAGGGGCTCACTGAGTTGCTTAGCACCTTGCTATTGCTGAGGCTGGCTTTGAACTCGAGATCCTCCTGCCTCAGCCTCCTGAGCCGCTGGGATTACAGGAGTATACCACCTTGCCCGGCTCAGGATATTTCTTTTAAAAGAACACCATTTGAGAAAAATTATCAGGAGATATATACATGCATATATATATATATACATGCATATATATATATAAGTGTAGAAGTATGTATGAAGTATAGTTATCCAGCCGGGCATGGTGGTGCATGCCTGTAATCCCAGCAACTCTGGAGGCTGAGGCAGGAGTTTCATGAGTTCAAAACCAGCCTCAGCAAAAGCAAGGTACTAAGCAACTCAGTGAGACTCTGTCTCTAAATAAAATACAGAACAGGGTTGGGGATGTGGCTCAGTGGTCCAGTGCCCCTGAATTCAATCCATGGTACCTCCTTCCCCAAAAAGTAAAAAGAATAATTATACAGCCAGGTGTGGTGGTACACGCCTATAATCTCAGCAACTCAGGAGACTGAGGCAGAAGGACCATGAGCTCAAAGCCAGCCTCAGCAATTTAGCAAGACTCTGTCTTTAAATGAAATTACAAAAAAAGAGCTGGTATTGTGTTTGAGGGCCTCTGAATTCAATCCCCCGTACCAAAACAACAACCACAAAAAGTTATCCAAGGGCTGGGGTTGTGGCTCAGCAGTAGACCACTTGCTTAGCACATGTGAGGCCCTGGGTTCAATCCTTAGCACCACATATAAATAAATAAAATAAACATGTTGTGTCCAACTAGAACTAAAATATATATATATATAAAGTTATCCAAAATATCTTTTTAAAAACATTTTGGATACAGTAGTCATTTATAGTTATAAGGACTATAAAAAATCTAGCTCATTTACATTTTTAAATAGTTGTAAAGACTCTAGAATTTGCTCATATTCTTTGGCTCATCAGATATTTGTCATCTAAGATATTAATCATTTCTGTTATTTCTTTTAAGTATGCCATCTTTAATGTAAAAGTATTTGGAATTTAATTATATGATTAAAAAAATTTATCCTTTTAACCTCAATCTATTGTATAAGAAACAGCCTTAATTTTGCATTTTACTATATTTATAATCTTATTTAATCTGAATCATAATTCTTAATTTTATATTCAAAAATATATCCCAACTTGCCACTTAAACATTGGCGTAAAAATATGACTAATTAATTTTCCCCCCTTAAGGTATATACTATGCAGGATCTATTACAACTCATTAAAATCAACCCCACGTCCAGTCTCTACAAATCACTGGTAAGATTATTATTTTTTTTTAATAACCTGTTTTCTGTCTTGTTAATTATAACTAGATAGTTGAATAAAAGTAAAATATTTTCTTTTTGCAGGTCTCAGGATTTGATAAAGGAAACCAAAAAGGTAGGAACCTTCATCTTTGTAAAGAACAACATTTTTGTATGTACTTTTTCCTATAAAAGTATGAAGTTGTTAATTTTTAGAGGGAAGAGTAGGAAATTTAAATTTTTTGTTTTATTTATTTGTTTTGTGCTAGGAATCAACCCAGGGCCCTGTGCATGCTAGGCATGGGCAGTACTGCTGAGCTACATCCCAGCCCTAAGAAACTTAATTTGAATTAAGTCATTTGATTTTCCTTGCTGACTGTATCTTGCCTTTAAAAATAAGCAATGGTTCATAAATTGTTCAGAAAAATGCAGGTCATTTTTTCACATAGTGCCTTTTTAATAACTCCTAGATACTCAAATAAGTAAACTAGTGATGGTAATCAAGAGCCCTACAAATATCCACTGTTGAGGGCTGGGGTAGCTTGGTGGTAGAGCACTTTTGTACCATGAAGCACTGGGTTCAATTCTCAGCACCGCATATAAATAAATGAATAAAATAAAGGTTCATTAACATCTAAAAACTATTTTAAAGAATCCACTGTTTGGAACATTATTGGCAGGGAGGGGGGTACTCCAAAAAAAATAATAGCATTTAAGATAGCTATCTTTGTATACTAGGTATTACATTGAAGTACAATTGATAGAGTATTAAATGTATTAATATGTATATAAAGTATTAATTGTATTAATTTTCTGTCACTGTATCCTTTTTTTATTGGTGCATTGTTGTACATGATGGTGGAATTCGTTGTTGCATATTTGTGCATGCACACAATACAATGATATAATTTGGTCAGTATAATTTCCAGTATTTACCTTTTCCTTCCCTTTGAAAACAATAAGATTTTTGATTCTTAAAATTAGCAGAAATTTTTTTACTTGAATACCCTAACCCTTTTTCATTTTAGCCATGACACTGAAACTAGTTTGATGTCTTTTGACTTTGACTTTTGAGCTTCATTTCAAATAATAAGTATTTTATTTTTATTCTTCAGTGTTTATACAGACCTGATAAACTGCTTTGTAGTTTGAACATAAGCTGAAAACTTACCTTTGATCCATAGTTAATCTTTTGGTCTTTTTAAATGATTATGATATTATATAATGATCCTTCTGTGTTAGTTTGCTTTGGGGTTTTTGTTTATTGCCAGAACTACTGCCATCCCCACTAGGACATTCATTCATTCATTCAATCAGAATGTATTCAGCAAACATTTGAGTCTATGACTTAATGCCAGGGCTCTTGGGAGTAATGTTTGCAGAAGATAACTAAGTTGGATCACGGGATGCTGCCTGCAAAATAAATCATCCCTGCTGAAGTACAGCATGGTAAATGATCCTGTGTTCTGGACTCTTAAACTTTTGAACAAAAACAGAATCTGTATGACTTGGGTTTCATGGTGAGATATGTTACCCCCGAAGCATGATACATGAAATAAATAAGTGTGATTTTATTAAAATTAAAAAACATGATAGGCAGTGTTATTAGAATGAAAGCCAAGCTGCAAACTGGGGGAAAAAATTGCAAAACACAAATCTGATAAAAGAATTGTATTCAAAATATGTGAAGAACTCTTAAAACTCAATCCTAAAGACAGATAACCCAATTCAAAAATGGGCAAAGGGTCTGAACAGACATCTTACCAAAGAAGACATACAGATGGAAAATAAGCATATGAAAAAATGCTCAGCATCATTTGTCTTTAGAGAAGTGCCAATTAAAGCAAGGAAATACAACTACACAACTATTAGAATTGCTAAAAATCCAAAACACTGATAACACAAATGCTGGCAAGGATGTGAAGCAAAAACAACTCTCATTCGTTGCTGGTGGAAATTCAAAATGGTACAGTCACTTGGGAGATAGTTTGGTTGTTTCTTACAAGGCTAAACACAATCTTAGTCTTAAGATCCAGTAGTTGTGCTCCTAGGTATTTCCATGCAGATTTGAGAATTCATGTCCACACAGACACCTGCATGTGAAAGTTTATAGCAGTTTTATTTGTAATTGCCACAAATTGGTAGCGATCAAGATGTCCTTCAGTAGATGATTGGATAAACAAAGTGTTCCATCCATACAATGCAACATTAGTCATCTCTCAGGATTGTGTTATGAAACCACCCAAAAAACGTAAATGAATCTTAAATTCATATTGTTCATGAAGAGGCCATTCTGAAAAGGCTACATATTATGATTGTATGTGTGTGTGTGTGTGTAATTTATGTTATAATTCAACAAAAGTGAATTATAACATAAAATATCTGTGAGTTCATGCTGATACAAGCAAATGATTGAATCAGTAAGTAGGAGAGGCAAACCCTTAGAGGTTCACTGTGTGCTGAGAGGGGGCTGAGGAGGAGGGAGACTTATCAGAGGCCTGTGAAGAATACCACCAACCTGAGGAAAGGTAACTGCACTAGAAATACTCCAGTGGAATAGCACATCTCTGAAGATTAGTCAAGTATGTTTTTAGTGGAAGAAAGCTTTCCTGAGAGAAAGATGGTTTTGTGGATTAGAAAGGAGAGCCTTGGGTTTAAGCAAACATCAGTGAATGTCATTAAGTTTTTGTATCACAAGTTTTCAAAAGTTAAAAATCCTAAACATATTATGGAAGAAAAAACAGTTCTTTCCAAAGAAATAACTGACCTGGAATTTCTGAGGAGAAATCATGATTAAAGATTTCACACTAAGGCAATGTGGCCAGTACATGCAGTGGTTTGTGACACATCAAGTAGCCCAGCTATATGTGATTGTTACATGGGGTTTAGGATGAACACTTCATAAGAAGTTGAAAATTTGGAGTGATTCTGCCTATGTAAGGGAAGCTAAAAGTATAGGAGTCGAATTTTAAAATCAAGCAGGAAAGAAAGACCTGTAACTTAGTGGATGTAGAATCATGAGTCTTTTCAACTATCTACCGTGGTATATTTACACTGATTATTTTTCATGAATGTATTTAACTCCCTATTGATGGAGATACAGTTCATGAGGGTTTTTTGTTTGGTTTTTTTTGCCATTAAAAGTGATCAGTGTGCACCCTTTGTGCCTTTGTGAAAGAGAATCCAGCTGTATAAATTCATGGAAGTAGAATGAGTAGGTTAAAGGACATATGCATTTTGAATATATATAAGCACTGAAATTTCCAATATGACATTTGTCCTTTGAATTTATTTCATGCCATATATATTTTTAAATTTTATATGGTTATATTGATAAATTTCCTTATTCCTTCTAGGTTTTATATCATGTTTGGAAAGACATTTTCTTAGAAATTTTTTTCCCATATATTGGCACACTATTATATATAATAATGGGATTCATTGTTATATGTCTGTAAATGCATACTCTTCAATCATTTTTAAAGAGCCTGGGGCTGGGGCTCAGAGGTAGCACACTTGCCTGGCATATGTGAGGCATTGGGTTCAATTCTCAGCACCATATATAAATAAATAAAATAAAGATCTATCAACAAGAAAAAAAATTTAAAAATTTAACAAAAGAAATTAGGGCTGAGGATGTGGCTCAAGCAGTAGCGCGCTCGCCTAGCATGTTTGCGGCCCAGGTTCAATCCTCAGCACCACATGCAAACAAAGATGCTGTGTCCGCTGAAAAACTAAAAAATAAATATTTTTTAAAAATTATTTTTAAAAGATAAATGTAAAAAATGTTGACATTATAAAGCCAAGATTGGGTAAAGAGTAGCTGAATAACTGAGGAATGGTTGAATGAAAGTTCTGAAAGAAAACTATATGTTGGTGTTTTCTAGGTTTTCTTATTAATTTCTTGAAAGAATTGGCAGAATATCATCAAGCTAAAGAGACTTGTGATATGGAAACTCAGACAAGTTCAACATGTCCTAACAAAGACTCACTTGGTAATTATAGCCTTCTTAATTTTTGTTGTTTTCTTTCGGAATAAAGGAAATGACCTCATATTGTATGGTTCTTCCTTGAACTGGAGAGATGGAACCTGTAGGTGATAAGGAAATTCATTTCTTCTGGAATCATGTTGCTGGAAGGGACCAGGAATTGCTCTCTGGTCATGTTCTCTATCGTGAATGCCAAAATCATGCAGGGATCCCAAGGTCCACATTCTTCCTTGTTTGTTAGGTTTAACCTCTCTTAACTGGGAGGTTCTTCCTTGGTTGTTGTCTAGCTTTATACTACAGCCATTGAGTTGGACTGTCATAGATTATTTGCTTTGCCAATGGCTAGAGATATCATTGGTCCATCACTTCCCTTTGTAGTTGAGGAAACCAAGGTCTTCAAAGAAAGAGCAATTGGAAACTCCCAGACTGGGTAAGAACTCCAATTTTTCCAGTCCATGATCTAGACCTTTTGTCACTATACAGCGTTTCTGCAATACCATCCTGTCCTTTAGTTTGGTACTTATTAGTGATGGAAAACAGCTATTTAAACTGATGCACTCAGTCAGCTTCTTGGTTCATCCTTCTTACCTTGTAAGAATATAAGAAATTCATAATTTGTAAAAACTGTATTGTATGAGTAAGCTTTTAAATAAGTGTAGGCATTTCATTAGAAACACATTATAAAGCAGTACTGTCTGATAGCATGAGCCACGTATGTAATTTTAAATTTTCTAGTAGCTACATTTACAAAGTAAAATGGGCCAGGCATGGTGGTGCATGCCTGTAATCCAAGCAGTTCAGGAGACTAAGGCAGGAGGATCGAGGGTTCAAAGACAGCCTTAGCAACCTAGTGAAGCCCTAAGCAACTCAGCTAGACCCTATCTCTAAGTAAAATATAAAAAAAGGGCAAGGGATGTGGCTGTGGTTAACCACCCCTGAGTTCAATCCCTGGTACAAAAAATAGAATAAAATTTTTAAAAAAGGTAAAATTCATTTTAATAATGTATTTTATTTACCCAGCATGTCCAAAATATTTCAACATGTACTCAATATAGAAAAAATTAATGAGACACTTCACTTATTTTACATGTGAATTCTTTGAAATCTAGTATATTTTTTACACATAAAGCAAATTTCAATTTAGCTTGGTCACATTTCAAGTACTCAGTTGCTACACATGGCTAGAAGGTCCTGTCTTGGACTTTTAAGTTATAGAACATTTGGAAAATACAGAAAAGTAGCTGGAAAAACATGTCTAAAGATATGCCTGTCAGAGATAAATACTGTTGATATTTTTATTTATTTCTGCCAGCCTTATTTCCCCTGTGCATGATTTTTTGGTGCTCTTGGTACCTTACAGGGGTGGGATTGTACTCTAGGCTTCAGATTTGCACTTTGCTCTGTTGCTGATTTTGCTCCATATTTGATTTGAGGGCTGCAGGCCTTGCTTTAGTCCCAGTTATACTATAGTTGCTTAACCCTCTGGAAGTCCCTTAAACTATTTGGGCAGTTGTTCCTTATCTATAAAGTGGAGGGGACAAAATACATGATCTTTCATTCTTTTTAAGTTGCTGTTTTAAATGTGTATGTCAACTTGAATCAAAAGTTCAATAAAAGCTCTCTGCCTTGGCACTTAGAAACTAGAAAAAGAATACAGTAATTTCTGACTTACTCTTTGCTCCCCCCCCCCCAGCATTTTACAGTGAACACTTGCATACCCATGGTCTACCAAGAAATCGATATTATACTTGCTTAATATCGTTTATTGATCTATCTCAAGTTTTTTATATGTTTCAATGTAAATGTCAGCATCCCTACATTTATACTATTTGTTTTTGGCTTCTTGCACACCCGACCAAGTTTATGTATCCTAATCTGATGTGTTGTTTTTTTTAATAGCTGAGAAGCTTCAGCTTATTGATGATCAATTTGCAGATGCTCATCCTCAGCATCCAAAGCTAGAGTCTTTAGAAATGAAGCTAAATGAATATAAAAAAGAAATAGAACAGCAACTTCGAGTAGAGATGGGTCAAAAGGTAAGCTGCATCTCTTGCTGCTTTTAACAAGCATGATGTTTTTGCTTGTCTTCTAATGTCTTAGGTATGTGGGGAAAACATCTAGAACCTTTTGGAGAGACTGGGATACTATCCCGTTAGGTATATTATTTTTATTTCCAGTTGATGTCATTGGTTCATGCCTTTTGACTGACTCCTACAGGTACAGTCATTGAATAAAATGAATAAAACTAAGTATGTTATAGTTTGGACAGAACATTAATGTTAAACCTAACCATTAAAAGAATTTGTTACTATTTCCTTAGGATAGTAACTGTATTTTTTATTTTTTTGTGATCAATTTGCAGTTGAAGTATTTTAAAGAAACTGAAATAGCAAAACTTAAAATGGATGAGAAAAGGAAGTACGAGAAGGAATTATCTGAGTTCCGAAACGAATTTAAGAGGACTTATCATGCAAAAAATGAAGCCCTCATTTCTCGCGAAAAGAATGCTCTTGAAAGAATTCAGAAGCACCAGGAGGTAATATTTGAAAGTAGTTTACCATGTGGCTATTTCTTGCAGCTGTTGGTAGGTTGGTTCAAGAGCGAGGAACAAGGTGGGGACAGTTGATGGAACAAGGCCCTAGATAAGTAGTGAGGACCATGACCAAGGGTGCAAATGGAAGCACCAGCCTTGTCAAGCTACAGAGACTTTTTCCTCCCAGATGGCAGATAGGAAAGAGTTGCAGGGTGAACATCCACTCTGAGATGGAGACACTCATCTTCTCAGGCACAGTGTAGGGTTAGGTAGGAGTTCAAGGAGAGGCTCGGGTAGACGTTTGCATGGGTAAACGGGAGCAGCTATTTAAAGCAGGGAGGACTGGTTTGTGTTATCCAAGACCCAGCTGAAACAGGAGCCTGGAAGTGAGAGAGACCAAAACATGTGCTTGGAGGTGAGTTTTCTATTCTAGATCTCTAGAGGGTTTATAATTTATGAGCACCTTTATTTTTCTATGCCTTTTGGTGAAGATAGAAACAGAGGCATTTGTGCAGAGCTTAATTTAATTGACTTGAGAAAGGCAGCCTGTTGAATTAAAGATCTTGTGACTCTACTGGGTGGTGAAGGGAGTCAGGATAATTGGTGGCTTCTGACCTAGGGGAAAAGGGAGGGCTATGAGGCATTCTTGAAGTGATCCAAAGAATAGGCCAGAGAGACTGGTAGGTGGAAGAAGGGTAGACCAAGTGTTCAGAGTTGCAAGGTGAGGTTTTAGGTGGAGACTAGAAACAAAATGCAGTATGCAGCTATCAGAGGAAGCTACAGAAGTGAGCAAAGGTGAAAGTCCTTGGAGCAGAGTCATCCAGGGCTACAAGGTCATCCATGCAGGAAAATGGGGAAAGTGATGGGACAGGAGGTGAAATTAAGGTATGACAGGAGTGTGTGCCTGTAGGAGGGATTGGATCTGCTTCTTTAGGAAAACATGTTCCTTTCTTAAGGTCATGTCTTAGGCCAGTCCGGATTTGCAAAACTGTTTCCAGTGTGCATCCAGAACTGCTATTGTCAGGAGACAAGTAGGATAGGGTCCACCCTTGCATCAGGCTTGACTTTAGGCCCCTGTTATTTAGTACTAAGTGGATTCCCTCTACAATTCTGTGCAGCATTTCTTGAGAATTGGCCTGTAATAATAAATGTTGGAAGCACAGATTTTTAAGATACTGGATTGGGTTTAAGACTAACAGGTTCCTTTTGTAGACAGGTAACTGACTAAATTCCCATTTACTTATTATCTGAGGGTATTGAGGAAGATTGCCATTCACATTAAAACATTGTGCCTTTATTTTTTTCACCTGGAATGCTGTCTACTTTCATCTCTTTGACCATTCTGTCCTTCAGAGCCTTAGCATGAATGTCACCTCATTATGTCTTTCCTAACTCCCACTGAATAACTCGTTCAGGCCTCATTCCTATATAGTTCTCATGTATTTCAGCTTTAAGATCATCACATCCTCAGTGACTGTCTCTCTCTCCTTGACCAAGTTGTGAGATTCTTAAAGATGGGAACTCTGTCTGCCTTTTTTATGTCCAGCTTCTATTACACTGCTTGACATTTGATAGGCAAATGGTATATCCTTGTTCAGTGAACTTGTAAGTGGAAGGATGGCCCATTCATTTGGAAGTTCATATGAACTTGCACCGAGTCAGAATGACCCATGAATTGAAACATTCAGATGGCTCTACTATCAGCAAGTTACCATGGGATTGTACTCTTTGGGAGTTTCATTGCTGAGTGTACATTTGTTTTAAGTTTTTTCTTGCTTGAAGAACTTATCCAAATTTTAAATAAGGGACTGAGAGATAATAAAGAACTAATTAGACAAGGAATATTAGAAATATAGGGTAATATAGTTTAACAGTCATTGGGGAAGTAGTTTTTATACAATTAGAACAAACATACCTTGAGATGAAATCTATCAAAGGTGAAATTGTCACCAGGAATGTCTGTACTTTCATTGTTTTCTGGAGTTTAGAAAGCAGTGTATGAGTTTCAGTCTATTTTCTTTTGCTTGCTTGCTAAAAATTAATGTTTTCCTATACAGACTGAAGCAAAAGAAATTTATGCTCAAAGGCAGCTTCTACTAAAAGATATAGATCTGCTAAGAGGCAGAGAAGCAGAGCTGAAGCAAAAAGTTGATGCTTTTGAATTGTAAGTAATGTATGTTAATTTTGGATATTCAGAATGAGATGAAAAAGATTTACAAGTGTATATATCCACATATTCTAATGTTAATTGCAAGTAGATTTCTTGGTTATAAAGGTGATATTATGTAGCTTTAAAAGGTACAAGTTAAAGACTAGGGTTTTGCTTATGAAATATTAGACCTTAAGGTGAAAAACAGGATGAAACACCATCATCAGGCTGCCATAAGACCAGACAGATACTTTGGAGAAGGTAATAATGTTTGAACACATGGTATGTTTTACAGTTACTCATTCACTCAAGTCTGGTAGTTTAATGAATGTTGTGAATCCCAGATATCCGTATTTCCCTGTTGTGTACTCAGGAAAGGAAATAGGCAATCTGACTTGATTTGTACTAGGTGAAACTGTATCTCAAAATATATGTGTTAAAATTACTTTTCCTAAATGTTCACAGTGTTTCATCTTTTAGATCTTACATGGGATTGATAGCAAGCTGCAATAACTTTTTTCCCTATTTGGAGTCTGCTGTTAATACTTGTAGATAATCTAGGAATCTTAGTACATTGAGGAAATTGTCTCCCTCTTCATTAATGTTGTTTTCTCACTTCTGTAGGCTAAATTCATTTTATTTCTCTATCTACCTTACTCTCTTTGCAGCAATACTGAAGAAGAGGTAAATTGATCAAAAGAGAAAAGGGACAAAATTTGGGCAGAGGGAGTTCATGATTATATAAACCCTTTTTTTTTAGCTGGGGATTAAACCAGGGCCTTTTGTGTGCTGGACGAGTGCTCTACCACTGAGCTGTACCCCAGCCCCTATAGTTATTTCTTTACCTCCACTTCCTCCACCCTTCCTTTCTAAGCATCTAAGTGAAGTAAATGTAGTTCACTGAACTGTGCCTTTCTAAATCAGCCAGCAGAGGGAGCTAATATGTGGAGCCTTTCCTGTGTTCTTGGACCAGTCAGGGTTCTGTAGTATGCTCAGTGGTACTTGTGAACCCCACCAGTTGACTCAAGAATTGGCATTACTATTGACTTAAGGTCTCACTATGAAGACCATATTGAGTAAAATCATACAAGGAGATAACTCTTTAGCATTTGAAAGCCCTGATCACTCTGTCTTGCTTTTGACACATTCTTCAGTATTCAATTGATAGATTATTAAATGATAATACAAATCTACCTGTGGCTAAGGTTGTGGCTCAGTGGTATTGCACTCATCAGGCATGTGTGAGGCACTGGGTTCGATCCTCAGCACCACATACAAATAAATAAATAAAATAAAGGTATTGTGTTCATCTACAAAAATAAATGATAAATACAAATATACCTTTATTATCTCTGGGCTAATGGATTAGATCCCACAGTTAGAGACAATATTATAGAAGAGACAAGCACCAAACTTGTGTTTGTGGTTTTTAGAAACATATTATAGAAGAGATAAGCCCATAAGCACAGTAACAAGTTTTTTAACTTTGTAACTAATAATATCATTCTTCTATCCCACTAAGTTGGTTACAGCTGTTTATCAGTTATAACCAGGTTTTTAATTTTTTAAATGTGTTTTAATTAATTATACATGACAATAGAATGCACTTATGCACTTTGATATATCATACATAGATGGGATTTAATTTCTTATTTTTCTGAGTGCACATGTTGCAGAATCATATTGGTCATGTAGTCACATATATACATACAGTAATAATGTCTTTTCATTCTACTCTCTTTCCTATCCTATCCCCACATCCCTTGCCTCTCCTCCCATCACTTCCTTCTACCTAATCTAAGGTAACATTAGTTATTCTTCCCTAGTGCACCCCCCCCCCCGGGCCTAACTGTGAATTAGCATCTGCATATTAGAGAAAACATAAAACATTTGGCCTTTGGTTTTGTGGGATTGGCTTATTTTGCTTAGCATGATATTCTCCAACTCCAACCATAGACTGGCAAATTCCATAATTTTACTCTTCTTTAAAGCTGAGTAATATTCCATTGAACATATATAACATATTTCCTTTATCCATTCATCTATTGGGGGAACACCTAGGTTGGTTCCATAGTCTCACTATTGTGAATTGAGCTGCTTGCTTGCTTGCTATAAACATTGATGTGGCTGTGTCACTCACTATAGTATGCTAATTTTAAGTCCATTGGGTATAAACCAAGGAGGGTATAGCTGGGTTAAACGGTGGTTCCATTCCTCACCCCCAAAAGTGAACATATAACCCCCTGTAACTGGTTTTTTAAGTGTTAATTACCTTCTTTGAGAAACTACCTTGGTCTTGATTCTTTCCCACTCCCCTAGCCAGGTGCCATTGTGCAGCTCCCTTTGCTAGTTCTGATGCACAGTAACTAGGTCAGTTTGTAAATATAGGGAGAACTTTTGGCTCTTTGCTTTTACTTTCCAGTAGTGAGCACTACAAAAGAGTTTGTCTGTTGAACTATAAATATGTCTTATTTTTTTCTTAAATTTGTTATCCTCAGATATTATAGTTTTTTTGCTTTGTATATTTTTGTTAATTTCAGGACCCAGAAACTCCAAGAAGAAAAAAATAAAAGTACTGCTGAAGCACTTAAGAGACGAGAACAGAATATAAAGAGTATTGAAGAGAGCTATGATCAAAAGCTCAAGAATGAACTTCTAAGGTAATTGGCATTTTTAAAGAAATAATGTTTGAATTAAGTTGGTGGAGATGTTGCAAATGCTGATGAAAAAGATAAAGCTGACATTTTATGACTAAATTTAGTATTTTTTAAAAATGTCCTTTTTTTTCCAATTGACTAATCCTTTCTCATGAGTACTCAAGTTAGAATAGTTTTTAAAACACACATAAGCCAGGTATGTTGGTGCATGACTGTAGTCCCAGCTACTTGGAAGGCTGAGGCAGGAGGATTGCGAGTTCAAGGCCAGCCTGAGCAATTAAGTGAGACTTAACTCAGTTTTCTTAGAAAAGGGGTGCTGGGGATATAGCTTGATGGTAGAATGCTTGCCTAGCATGTGCAAGGCCCTGGAGTTCTATCCCTGGTACCAAGGCAAAATAATATGAAATAGAAAGTTACATCCTCTGTCCTTCTTACTCATGGTTTCTCTAACAGTTGTTGAAGGCCTGTCATTTGCTTTATTCTAAAGGCACCTTCTGACTTGCTCAGCTTATATTGCTGATCTGCTACAAAATTGGAATTATAATCACTTTTAGTTACCTTTGCCTTTACCTTACTCATACTGCCACTAAAGTAGAAATTTCTGATGATTTAGAAATTATTCTACGTAGAGATTATAGAATTTGTCCATGAACATGTTTTATATTCCTTTAAGATTCTGCTATGTCAGAATTTTTAAAATGAAGCAAAAAGTGATAGGAAGAAGAAAATTATGGGCACCTGTGGTTACTTTGAGTTTTCTGTAGCCTGAATCTTGTGTACCAATAAATGCTATTTTAGTGCCAGGACATTACACCCATGTGATAACTTTGCTCAGGGGTGGTATTACATTTGGCACATAACTGTTTGGTGAGTATTTATTGAGTAAACATGTAGCAAGGAGACAATTCAACATAGCTGCTTGAGGTTTTTCTTAATCATTGGGCTCTTTTTACCACCTTGCCCATAATTTGTCATCAATAATCTCTTATATAGTGTTTACAAAGGCTTCTTGTAGTTGTTCTTTAAATGAATTCTGTTTAAAAAATACAGCAGATTTCCATCTGGTTTTTTTTTTTTTTTTTT